GGTGGCATTCAAGAGGCAACCACATACTCATGTTTCTCTCCCTCTCTTTTTCCCTCCCTTCCTTTCTCTAAAAATAAGTAAATAAAATCTTTAAAACAAAAGGCATGTTCATTGTACACATATGCCCAGGTCAACACCCTAGAATTTTAGGGCTCAGTGGTACACCTATATTGATCTCAATCTAACTCTACATTGATTATGATTCTGAAGTGGAGTAAAAATAAAGACAAAGATATACACAAAACAATCTGATCTATTGTGGTGTTAATTTTGAAGGTATTTATATTTATTTTTTAATTTCTAATATTATTAATAATAATAATAGTAGAATATTAGCAGTATTAATACCATTTATTTAATAAAAACTGTCTAAACTTTAGTGAGGTGTCTAGTTCAAAAAAGTTTTTGTGAAACCTAATCAAAATCATTTTTATAGTGAGATAATAAAAACACAGGAGTCCCTGCATAGATGATTATTAAATTGCAACACTTTCTAATATTTAAAGAAATGTAAAGAACCTAAATATCTGCCAACAACACATAAACAGCATATCTACACAATGAAACACAATACAGCTGTTTAGAAACGAAACAATCTCAGAAATTCTCTGGGTGCTAATGAGGGAAAATCTCCAATGTATATTACGTGGGGGGTGGAGCAGGGGAAGCACAGGTAAGTACATGGCAAGCTAGTATTTGTGTAAAAAAGGAGAAAAATACATCCAATCTGTTTATTCAAAGATGTAAACAGTATTTAGAATATGTAAAAATCAGTAAAACTGGTTGCCTTCAGAGAGAGAAAATAGGTCCTTTGGGGACAGGAAAGACGGAGAGTGGTGTCTTTCGTACTTTTTGAGTTCTGAAAACCTGGTTGCTATTACCCAGGCAAACAGTAAATTTTCCAAGGTTAAATCACCCCCCTTCCAGTGACTCTTATAAAACTATCAAGCAATTATTCTGTATGCATATTCCTTTAGGAATTATTTTATTTACTTACTTATTGAATTTATTGGGATGACACTGGTTAATAAAATTATATAGTTTTCAGGTATACAATTCTATAATACAATAATCTGTATATTACATTTTGTGTTTAACACCCCAAGTGTATGAATTATTCTCTATGTATATTTCTCCATACAGGAAACCCTGAAGCATCAAATTCTGTTACAGTGAGTTCCCATTTCCAACAACCCATATCAATCTACCGCCAGAATGTTTGAGAAACCCTTTGGTTTCTCAGCTGAGTACCTTTCAAATAACATTCTCTACAGGAAAAAAAAGTAGCATTGTTTTAAGCCTGTAAAAGTCTTTCTTCCCTCTGAGCCCAAGTTTTCTATCTGTAAAACAAGGACATAAACATTATACCAAGCTAAGAGCAATTTATAATACTAACAGAAAAGAGATAAAAGGGTTGGTGCTGGTAAAGGCAGGAGTAAGGAGCATATGTTTCAAAGTTCCCCTTCCTCCAGCTACTAGAGTACATCAGAAAAAATCTAGGGTTCCAAAAAACCCAACTAATTACAACAGCAATAGTTAACATTTACTGAATACTTTCTGTATGTTAGACAGTGTTCAAAAGTGCTTTATTTGAATTAACTCATTTTATCTTCACAACAACCCTGTGGTGTAGGTAATATCATCTCTAATTTATGGACAAGGAAAGAGAGTGGTAAATATGATAAAACAGTTAAAAAAGCATGGACTTTGCAAACTACCTGCTGGGATTTGAAACCTGGCTCTCCTACTTAATAGCTGTGTAACCTTGAGCAAGTTGCTTAAACTCTGTGTGTCTGTTTCCTCATTTCTAAATTGGAAATAATGGTATCATCTAATGCATGAGTTTAAAATCTCGGTACACCAACAAAAATTTCAGTTCTTCCTTTGTTAAACAGAAAATTATTCAGAGACTATTATGCTTATATTGCATTTACTCGTAACTTGTCACATGTAAAGTCAATTCTGGTGATAAAATTTTATCTTTACAAATTTCTTTTAACATTTGAAACCTTATTTTAAAAGTTTATATTGAAGAGCTTTTTTCCTATATATCTTTACTGTATTTATATAACATCATAGCAAGGAAACACCATGAAATAAATGTTTAATTGCTTCTATTCTAGTGGGGAAGTCTGAGAGCAGCTTTGCTAAGACTGCTGCTGGACAGCAATATCACATAGCCCAGCTGTTTGTTTACAGTTTGAGGACTAATGCCAGGGGAAGTAGAGCAATAAGGAAATGGAGGCAGACCTTGTAGATATTGCATGCTTGGTTCCAAACTAGTAATAAGTGAGTACCGCAATAAAGTGAGTCATAATAGTGCTGCCTTCTATTTGTGAAAAATGCAACACCTATGAAGTGCAATAAAGTGAAGCACAATAAAATAGAGCATAATAAAATGAGGTCTGTCTGTACTGGAAATCTAGGCAGTTTTGTTGAGTGTCTATAACTTTGGTTGAAGAAAAAAATTTCAGTTAAACCACACTCTCATTTAAATTAAAGCACAGCCCTGGCTGGTATGGCTCAGTGGTTGAGTGGCAGCCTGGGAACCAGTCTGGGGCAAATGCCTGGGTTGCAGGCCAGGTCCCCAGTAGGGGGCGCAAAAGAGGAAACCACATATTGATGTTTCCTTCCCTCTCCTGCTCCTTCCCCTTTCTAAATACATACATACATACATACATACATCCATACATACGTAAGAGTCTTTTTAAAATTAATTAATTAAAGCATAAATCACAATCCAAAGCAGAGTACTTTGGAGGTTTGTCATGATTTGGCTCCCCTTTCTATATTAGTTCCCTATTCTGCTGTAACAAATTACTACAAACTCGGTGGCATAAAACAACACAAATTTGTTTTCTTAGAGTTGTGTGGTTCAGAAGTCCAAAATCGAAGTGTCTGCAGGGTTGTATTCTTTCTGGAGACTCTAGTAGAGAATTTTTTATTTTTATTTTTACTTTTCCAATTTTTAGAGGCTGCTCGCCCATCTTTAAAGCCTGCAAATAGCGGGTTGTCAAATCTGTCATGTCTCGCCGCTCTGACACTTCTGTCTCCCTCTTCCATCTTTTCAGAACTCTTGTAATTACCATAGGCCTGTTAGATAATACAGGATAGTCTCCCTATTTTAAGGTTGGCTGATTATCAAACTCAATTTCATCTGCATCCTTAATTCCCTCTCATCATGTGATATATTCACAGGTTTCAGGGATTAGAAATGGACATTTTTTGAGAAACCATTATTTTGTCTTACATATCTTCCTTAGTTCAAATCATTCATTCATTCAATAAGGCCATTTCATTGGGCACCTAATGTTTGGTCTCTGGTAGGTACTGGGGCATACACAAAAGAACAGAGTGCTATCTTATTTGCCAATGCTTAGCTGACAATTCATTAATCACCACAGTTACTAAGAGCTAACTGAAGGCAGAGACCATAAATAACTAGTAGAATTCCATTGAAAGTGTATTTTTCTTTGTAGCATATACAATTATGCTGTTGATGAAAAATACCATAAAGGCAATGTGAAACAATTTAATCTTTTAAGAAACAATCAAACGAAAGTCTAAAGATAAATTAGTGAATTTCTCTGAGCCTCAGGCTTCTCATGGGTAAAATGGGGAAAGTGTTGTTTATATAAAGATTAAAGAGCAATATACGTTCTCCTGGCATGATATTCCACACATGTTAATTCTCTTTCCCTTTTCATGTTTAAAGTATCTAACATTCATTTAAACATTTCCATGATTAGTTGTGCACCAGACTACAAAAGAATATAAAAGAAATGTTGGCGACAGCCCCTGCCTTCAAATTAAAAAATGTGTTGGTAGGGTAACACACTTGCACATACAACACAACTAAGGAAAGATCAATGTAAACCTAAATGGGCACCATGAAAGAATTGGAACTTAAAACACGGTTAGGGAAAGCAAATATATAGTTGGGTAATTAAAATGATTTCTACTTTACCTTAAAAAGACAAAGCAAGCAAACACCTGATCCATACGTTGAAATATGGTTAAGGGGGAAATTAAGGGGGAAGTTAAAGTCTACTTTAACTTTAGAGCTTGACTAGGTCTTTCAGACCAGTCAAGTACAGACATTTTCAAACCATTCTCTGGATCCCTGGAAATCCACAGATGTTAAAGTGAAGGGAAGCCCACGGAGATCCCTTTCCTAATTTATTCTGCTTTACCCTTTGGGTAAAACTAAAACTACTTGAATAGGTAAACTTTGAGATTATCTGTGTATTTTAATAGTCCATAGTTCTCAATTCTGTCATTAAGAAAGTAAATGTTCATGAGCTGTTTCATCAACAATTTGGGAGAATAGGACACAAACTACCAATTACACCCACAAACCTTATCAACATCAACAGTACTGTGATGTTGTACTGTGATAACCAATCAACAGTACTACTGTGTAGTACTGTGATAACCAATACTCTATACTTTCCCTGTGCCTAGGAGCTAATTCTACTTTACACATATTATGTTATCTAATATGGAACTAAGAAAATAACTTTCTGAAGAACCTACAAGACATGGAAGATCGAGTCAAGAATTGAACTAAAAATATAAAAATATTTAAAAATATATGGTTCTTTATCCTTTAACATCAGGTTGAACATGTATCACCCATCCATCCATAAGGAATGAGTAGTGCACAAAAACAACACTTATAACAGTGATGTGGAATTCGAGAAATTTAAGTTAGGTTTAAAAAAACAGAAAGAAATACCATTGCGCTGGTTTTTCCCTGGTTCCCAACTCTGCAACCTGAGCCCCGAAAAAGAAGCCCTCAAGGAAGGTCGTCGGCCCAACTTAGCCTCACTTCCTACATCCTGGAAGTACAGAGTTCCGTTCCCTTCCCCGGTGCCGGTTCCTTCCCTCACCAAGAGTCGTGGACCAGTCCTCCTAGGACAGCAGACACATGCTGGCTCCACAGATACCGTGCCACTACAGGGAAGGAGACTCACTCCGTTCAGCAGGAAACTACTCACTGCGCAGCCGTCGCGGCCTCCAACCACTGCCCAGCGGAGGGGCGCCAGGCCTCCCCCCCAACCCGTTCGCCGCGCCCGGGAGGCGGAGGGGTGAAGCGAGCCGGGCTACGGCGGTATCGTGGCCAGTGAGGTGAGTAGTGATAGGTCTCCGTCCGCCACTCGGATAGTTCCAGTCATAACGGCCTGCTCTTCCAGCTTCGCCCGCCCCTTTCTCCCCCACTCCCTAAGCCACCAGAATGGAACAGGCCCGCGGGGGGATTGTGGGAGGCGCACGCGCGACGGGTGGAGGGAATGGTGGGGGGGGCCGGAGGAGGCGGTGGCGGAGGAGGCCGTGGCGGCTGTTGCTGGCTGTGGGGGTGGGGAAGGGGGGGGAGGAAAGAAGAGGAGGTGGAGGAGGAGGAGAAGGCTGGGGCTCGAGCCGCTGGAGGTACGCGTGAGGTTCCGCGCTGGAGCCGGCTTGACAGAGGCCGAGGGGAAGCGGGGGACTGTGCGAGAAAGCGCCCCAGAGTGAGCGCGTACGGGCTGGCGGGCGCGCTAGGCAGCCGAAGGCGGTGGTTAGTTAGAGTAGCGAGCAACGAGCCGGGTTACATACACTCTGGCGCGTGTGGGCGGGCGTGCGCGCTTCGCCCAAGTCGGGTGAGGGGGGAGGACGGAGGGGGAGAAGCCGAAGAGGGAGGAGTGGGAGGTGGGGGGGGCACGAGGCGCCCTTCGCTCCCTCCCTTCGGAGGAGCTGCCGCCGCCGCCGCTCTGCCGCCGCCGCTCCGCCGCCATTTTGGGTTCGCTTTGCGGAGGGGGAGACGATCCCCGTTTCGGTTGCGGGACCCACCTCCCTTCAGTTTCCACAGCTTAGTCCCACGCCTTTTCCTTCTCCTCTCTCGCATTTCCGCCAGTCCGCTCACCCGCTGGTTGCCTCTTGACAAGCGGGAGGGATTCGCGGTGGACCAAGGGAAGCAGAGGAGCGTGGTGGCGGCCGTCCCCTCTTCCCTACTTCCCTGCACTCTCATCTCTCTCGGCCTCGGCCTCTGACACGGTGAGTAGAACCGCCTGGGGAGGCTTGGGGGCTTAAGTACTTCCTCAGCTACTTAATGCTTGGCTTTCTGCGCGCTCCTGTCATCTCCCGGACCTGTACCTCCGGGACATTGGTGGTAAGGATGGGGGAGGGGAGAGTAGAGAAGGGGATCCTGAGCTAACCGGGAAGTCCCTCCTGGCGGAGGCGAAGGGGTGTCCCTGACTGGCGGGCTGCTGGCGAGGGGGAGAGGGGCGGGAAAGTAAGTGAGTGGAGGCGGAGTCGGCGGTGTCCCTGACAGGTTTAGTTTGTGTGTTATGCAGGCAGGATTGGAGCATCCCCCAAGGTCCAGTTTGTGTCTGACAGAGGGATAAGAGTGGCAGGAGAGTGATCTTCGAGAGTGATCTTAAATACCTTACCTGTATGCTTAGGACTGTGGTGTCCCTGACACGCTGAAGTGATGTAGGAACGACAGGATGATCTCACTGTTGTAAGTTTAATAAATGTTACTGATTAGTTTGTACGTGGAAAGACATGTTTTTGGTCTAGAAGACAGATGGTCTGTTGGTGTGCAGAGGCTGTTTGGGTGTGTGTGTAAGGAAGGAAAGTGTTTCGGAAGAGTTCGCTTGTATTTGTATGAGGGTAATGGAGTTCCCCTTATAGTTCATTTTTAAAAATAAAACTTGGGGTGTTCCCTGCTGGTTGGATGTGTGTGTGTGTGTATTTTAGGGTTCGGGAGTGCCTTGTTCTTGTTGGGAAAGAGCAGTCAGGGCAGTAATATTCTTAGACATACTATACAGTATGTATGTGTGGGATCAGGGATGAGAGAAATGTCACAGCCAGTTGTGGTCTTCAGAATAGTTGTTTTCCTTGAATAGAGTGAATTGTGTAGATTTGAAAGCCCAGACTATCTTTACCAGACCAATTATTGTGAGGGTATAAAGAATGCTTGGCCTTTTTGTGGACTAGAGTTTATATTACACCTTAGAATAGAATAAAACATTTGTATCTTTCAGGCTGCCCTTTAGGTTTATTTGTGATCCTAAATTCCTTTGAAAGTGGTGTTTTTTCCCATTTTACTAAATAGGAAATCGAGGCATAAAGATAATTTTTCCAAGTTCACATGTTAAATTGGGGGCAAAGTTTGGATTGTAACTCAGATATTTTGACCACTAAGCCAGTAATATGGTCACTATACAATGGAGCCTGAGGAGGTCTTTTTCAGGCAAATCTGAGTTTATTGGAAAGATAGGGGCATATGTGACTGGTTGGATAATGTACTTGGTATAGATTAGTTGCGTTAGACATGTATATGGAATGTAGGTTGTCCTTGCCAGGTTGGCCTGTATGAGAATGTGTATCCTTGATTATTTTTTGTTTGTGGAGGAAGCAGAGTATTTCTAACACTTAAGCTTACCAGAGAACTGCATGGGGGCTCACAGCATAACTTTATTTCTGTGGGAGGAAGGATCTTCTTTCATTCATTTAACAAATACTTACTGAATAAGTACTCAATGAACGTTCCTGCCTTGGGCTGAGAATAATCAAGGTGACCCTGTTGAAACAACCTGGGTGCATATGAAGGGGCACTTGTCTTGACAGTGATATGTACTAACTTGAGCAAAGCAGAAAAGTCAGTGTGTAGTTGAAATTAGAAAACCCTCCTGAAAAATCTATTCAGATTGGAGGGAATTTTGATCATCTAGACATTTTATTTATTCCTATTTAAAAAAATCATCAACCAAAGATATGTTTGTTGATTTTTAGAGAGAGAGGCAGGCATATGCCCTGACTGGGAATTGAACCAGGGACTCTGGTTGCAGGCCTGTACTCAATCTACTGAGCTATACCAGCCAGGGCTCCAGTTAAATAATTTTATATTGCTATTTAAGTTATGTGTGTTGATCTGAATCTTTTAGAAGTAATATTCAGCCTTATCGGAATCCACCGTGAGGTCTACATTGTGTTTATCTTTTCAGAGCATGAGATACTTTAAGCCTGGCTGCTGTAAGAGAGGGAAATGAAAGCAGTTTTTGTTTTGTTTTATTTTTAGCTATATTGTAGTTTTTTTCTTCTTTAAATTACTCGTAGTGTATTTTCTTTGTTTATATTCTTTAGGTAGAGGTTCAATTTTCATACTTATGATTTGTCATCGTAGTAAATGATAGCTGTCAATCTTACATTTCATGTTTTAGAAATCACTTTTTTAATGACTTGCCTCATTGGGTATGTTGATGGCAGTGTGATGTTGACATAACATAATAAATGATGGCTTCAAGTAATGACTGAAATTTAAGTAATGACCTTATTGTTAATTCTGAGTTGAATATTGTATGAAGAATGTAAAATTTTATTTGTAGCATTGTTTTTTGCTTTTTATAGTTTTTAGTCATTTGCTCTCAGACATATGCAAGTAAATGACAGGGATGCATACTTCTTTTAATTACATTGATTTTTTTAAGTGTGGAAAATTTCAAACATATATGGCGATAAGAGAATAGTATAGTTTTTATGTGTTTGATATCCAGCTGGAATAGTTACCAACATCCAGTTTTCATACTATATCCCCATCTACTAGCCTCTCTCCCACCATGCCCTTTGCTTAATTGAAGCAAATCTTCCAGACATGTTTCATCCATAAATACTTCACTGTACATTCATTTCACTCTTAAATGGGAAATTATTTCTCTGTAGTTAGCTTTATATAACTTTTTATTGTTTTTTGATTACCCTCTTCTTCCCCTCCACTCTCTTCCCCCCCCCATGTAACTTTTAAAATAAAGTATCTAATGATAATTGGAACCAAACTATTTACATCAAATAGTTCTAATTTATATTACCTGTCAATATGGACTTTGAAAAGAAGAGAGTTGAATAGAGATTCACCTCACTGCTTTTAGATGTTTGCACTGAAAAATGTGAGTTAGTTTCTAAGTTTGCCTGAAAAGCTTATACTCTTTTACAGTTTTTTGGTTTTGTGATAATGATAGGATACTAAAAGTACTTTCTAACTCTTACTAGTTTCTCTTGATGTTCTGACTGGATCCAATTACCACGAAGAAATCAGATGATACTGGTAATGTTGAGCAGGAGCTGAAAATTGGTCTAAAATCAAGTTGGTATATAGAGAATAAACTGAACATTATTTTGAAGTTTAAAATTCTAATTGTGGACATTTGAAAATTCAAACCAATGCTTAAGTTGCTAAATATGAACCATATTACAGAGTATGGGTATTGTGATGAATAGAGATGTTGTAGAAAAAGTAAGTAAATATTCCTGTTGAGTTATTAAAGGGAATCAGAGTATAGAAATTTGAAGTGATTGCTGGTAAAATAGAACTTAGATAATCTATCCTTTCCTTCCACAAAAGGCTGACAGTTATAATTCAGATGAATGTGAATTCCATCATTAGTGAAATTTTGGTTAACTTATCTTTTGTTATATCTTATAATCTCATGATAGATAAATCATCTACCTTTGATTTAATCTTTTTGTTTTACAGTTCTATCTATTCCATTCTTGATACTTCTCACTTAGTTGTTTTTTTTTTTTTTTCCTAACACCACAGGTGGACAGTGTATCCGATTATAAAGTAGTCAGATCCTGGTCTTCTGGTGTAAATGACATTATTTAGAATGTGGAGGAGACTTTCTTTATGATAAGGTTTTTTAAATTTAGCATTGCTGAAAATGAAAGCGCCAGAATTTAAATATTTACTAACATAAGAAGCCTAATAGGGTTGAATGGAGAGAATTTAAAAGTTTGTCTTTGAAAAAAGAAACTGCTAACTATGACATTTGAGAAAATGGGGGAGTGACTCAAAATCATGTATAATAATTATTTATAGTATAAAGATTTTCAAAGAAAATTGTAGGATATAAACCTCAATTAAGTAGCGATTCCATTAAGCTAGGTTGTAACAAGTTGGGAAGTTAAAGTTTATGCAGAAGCATATCGAAGGATAAAGAACCATCACCTTGAAACTGCAGTGAATGAGAGATATAAGTTAATTATATTTGTGTGTGTTTGTATATTTAAAGAAAAAAACCATAAATGAATGTAGAACAAGGTCACATTTTAATTTGGTTTAGCCTGTATTTCTTTCCATTTGTTCGTTTGTTCATTTATTCATTTATTGAACATTCAGCC